TTAGTACGTACTAGTGGGTGTGCGCGACAATGTCTGTGTTTCCACAGACATTGTCGCGCACACCCACTAGTGTTGCTATACCAATTGATTGATTGATTGATTTGCTATACCAATTTCTATCCCTCTTTTAACTTCCTCAAAGGGTGATTTATATACTCGTATTATAAAAATGTCCTCAAACTATCTTTTTACCAAATTTCATCTAAATCGGTTCACCGGCTTAAGCAAGTAACATACAGACATAAAGACAGACACACAACCACTTTCGCATTTATAATATTAGTATGGATGGCAAAGATAATGCTCATAGAACAGAATTATTGAAGTTATACTTCTTTAGGCGCGTTATGAAAAAATGATGAGAGTGAAATTTTAAGATGCGCGCGCATCACTGTAACACAAAAATTAACAGCATGAAGTTGGTCGCTTCATGCTGTTACTTTTGTGTTTACCGCACATTAAGAAAATCTACCAACAAAATAGAAATAGAATCTCTATTTAGTGGGTGCAGCTAACGACTGCATTGTGAAGGCCTATCAAAAGTATTTATTAATCTGGAACAACGGAACCAAAGCGCGATTCAGGAGACTACAGCGCCATCTCTTGACCATTGGTGTAGTAGAACCAAAAACCACATCTTTATTTTTTGTAACAAAGTAACAGTTACAGGTATTCATATTTATAATATTTATCCACATGTTTCTAGTTTGTATATTCGGAATACGTGTTTGAGTTTCATACAAGTGCAAATCACATATGTTCTAATAAATTATATTCAGTAGCGATTTTAATTGAGTATTTTGATTATTTATTTATTTTTTCAAATTAAAACTGAACTTTATTGACTGTTATAGTAATATAAGTTATTTACGGGATTGTTACCATGTACCTTGTTTTTAGCGAGTTTCCGATATTTCGGCACTGTTGCAAGCGCCATGATCACGGAGTAACTGAAGTAATTGCGGGTAGGCTGTTATTGGCAGACATATCGGTCTACCCTCCGACGAAGTCTTTTATTGCGACCCGTACCACTGTTCACATTCTCACTATTCACTCGAAACTGTTCTCGACACACAACAACAGTGGTACGGGTCGCAATAAAAGACTTCGTCGGAGGGTAGACCGATATGTCTGCCAATAACAGCCTACCCGCAATTACTTCAGTTACTCCGTGATCATGGCGCTTGCAACAGTGCCGAAATATCGGAAACTCGCTAAAAACAAGGTACATGGTAACAATCCCGTAAATAACTTATATTACTATAATGTTAGTGACCATGAAAGTTTAAAACAATATATTTATTGACTGTGTCCTTTTCCAGACTTTTTATTAATTTATTGTAATTAATTATTTGCATGCAATTAAAAACTAATTTTAAACGATGCCAAAGAAGGATAACTTCTCACGCGCCTACATAAGTACACGCACCCATTTTTTACTGTGATATAATAATGCGTCACAGTTTTTCTATGTAAAACGATGAAAAGTCATATTAAAAATAAATAAATATTTCCGACAGTCACACCAATTAGCCTAGCCCCAAAGTCAGCACTGTAGGCTTGTGTTATGGGATGCTAGGTAACGGATATAATACATATACCGATACATATATAAGTATATTTATATAGAAATATATATTAAACATCTATGGCTGAAGTACAAATGCTCGTATACATAGCACAAACATCTGCCTCAGACAACTTGAAACCAGGCGTACAAACCACTCGGCTACGTAGGTCATTTTAATATCTAAACGTTGGCGATATCAAAGTATCACCTTACCTATTCCCTACCCAATGGAACCATGGAAACCCACGGTTCCCAACTTAGGGGTTTTGCCCCCAGATTTAGGGGCTAGAAATGTTAAAACGGACTTTGGGGCTTTGGGACTTGGGGCTAGAATTTTTTGGGGGTTTTGACGTGACAACGTCTTAAATTAGGTTGCGGCTGGGAGTCACTTATGAAAAAGTGTAACGCTCGGTAACGTTACGATGAGTTTAAGTTTACATGTACAATGTTTTAGTAAACAAAATATATTTCTATAGTTAAAATTTGTGCAATTCTTATTTTCATTCAATTCCTTGTTCCTATTGTGCAATTTAATTATATTCATATCAATAAATATTCTACCGAGAAAAAGACGTTGTCACGTAAAATCTTCGCCCGTAAAACCGACTTTACAGGCAACCATTTTTTTTAGGGGCTTTTATCAAAACTTGCAATTAAATCAAAAAACAAAGCGTGTGTTTTCTTTCAGTTTTGGGCGAAGAATGGAACGCACCACGATATGAAACGACTAAACTGACTGTGTGGCGGGTTGTTTCCTAAGGCTGTATGGACTAAAGTCAAAAAAAAAACAGCTAAATAAGATTTAACAGTCTGTCAGCTCATTTTCGTTTGATTGTCCTTTCGGAAACTGTATTTATTCAATAAAATAATTTACTGTAACTAATTATGTAACGTTTTAATTTATGAGCAACGAAAGAATTTGTGTAATAAGTAGGTAGTTAAAAATTGTATATTTAGGGGATTTTAGGGGAATTTAAAAAATACTGAGGGGTAAATTTTGATAAGGGTTGGTAACACTGTGGAAACCTTACTCACCCAAAGGAAACACAACTCTTACAAAAAGAAGGCAATTTCACTTTTTGGTCTAAGGTGGAGGTCACTTTGCCTGCTAACAATGGTCTAACTCTTTTTAGATAAGTCAATACGATGATGATGATTTTAGTATATTCATAAAGTTTGCTTATTACTAGACTATTCATAAGATTTTTACTCTAATGGTGGCCATACACACTACGAGAAATCGTTGCGATCAGACTGTACACTTCGAACGGTACAGTTTATCGTAAATGGCATATAATGGTAGCCATACACGCTACGAGAAATCGTTACGATCAGACTGTACAGTTCGAACGGAACAGTTTATCGGACGTGGCGTACGTATAGGAAACTGTGTAGTTTTATAACATACACGCTACGATTTATCGATACCGTTCGGACGGTACAGTCTAATCGTAACGATTTCTCGTAGTGTGTATGGCCACTTTAAGTCCTACACGCTACGAGAAATCGTTACGATCAGACGGTACAGTAAACAGTGCCGACGGACCTTCGACGTTAGCGGTTGTTGGATTAATATTCGCCCTGAAGGAAGATAAAGTAAAGCGAAAACATCGTAGCATTTGGTGCAAAGACCGCCGAACGTTTTAAGTCCCTGTTGTGATACTCTTTGTCTTTAGTATTCCAAAGACAAGGTTCACTGCGATAACTCAATAAATTCCTCTAGCCATTCGAGATTAGTTTGAGACGCCATGACGCGTGCGCACGTCAACCCGAGCTGCAACTGACTACAAAATTGAACACGAAAACTGAACTAGCGCATACACGTTACGATCAGTCGGCACAGTTCATTCGATTCCGATTAATCAATTGAATATCTTGATTGAATTGATTTCTCGTAGTGTGTATGGCCACGTTAAAGGTTCGCGCACACTACAGGCGGGCCGTGGCGGCATCGCAATGCACTAGCGGATCGCTTGCTAGGCGTATTTTTGCCTCGATGATAACACATAAGTGTTGCAATGCAATGCGGCCCGCCACAGTGTGCGTTGGAAGGGGCAGTCGCGCTCGCCCGATGTACAACTATTCTTCGTCAGAAAAATCCATCGCTTTAGATTGCTAACGGCTGATTATTTAATTTTTTTCGTTGTGTTGCGACCCGTCACAACTCTAATGCGGCCCGTTCGTCGCGGCTGTAGTATGCACTAGTCTTAATAATAATTTCGATATTTTATAGAATGAATGTTTACTATTTAGTTTTATCACGAATTTAACGTTTAAATTTGCCTTTTCTTAGAATACTATGATGATACTATTTCCATTCTCAACATACATAATCGCATTAAATTACTATTTATGAATTGTTTGGCGTCTGATTTTGAGGCATTGAACCTTGGTATAGACCAATCTTTTTGTGTGAAAGTTTTTGTAGTAATAATTCCCGCCTTATTTATAACTTATGAATGAGTCTTTTATATTTTAGGATGTGTTCAATTTAGTATGATGTATACATAAATGAATTTTTTTTATTTTAGTTTTTGTTTTGATCCCAGCTTCTACAGTTTTGATTTTTGCTTGTTTTTGTTACCAACAACCAGCAACATTCATTTTATTATATGCAACGAAAGAGCTAATGATTTCTTTTCTAGAACAATAAGAAATCTTAAAGAATTCATTTTATTTACTATAAATATTAAACTAGGTCGAGGTCATCAGGCTAGATTCGGAACTATATCTATTGAATACTGAACTTTTAATTTATTGGAGTTTATTGGAGTTTACTCCTTAAGAATCGATTCGCATATATAAGGGGCCCGGTATGAGAAAAATGTGAGAAGTAAAATCTATCGATGAATGACCTCGTTACGTTTTTGGTGCGCATCCTATGTCGCGCAACTTTGACAAACAAAGATGACGGATTGACATTAATAAAATTTTTAAAATCTGAACTGAATTTAGATATTGTTTCTGATAGAGCAATGGGGACAACGAGGTATGGTACAACCATTTTCAAGATTAGTGAATCACGTATCTACGAACGTCCATGTGCCTTATTTTAGTTACCATAAACCACTTGTCACTGTAATTAATAATGCAGACAATGTTGATTTAATTAATATTTTAAAAATTTAAAATAGTCTGATAATAATAATTACATAATTTATCAACATTCCTAATGATATATTTATGCACATCTGAAATTGACTATTGTAAAAAGTTTAAAGTAAAATACTTCGTCGATTAGTAATAAATGTATATGAAATGAATAAATATATTATGTATATTATTTTCATTAATTTGTTAATTTACCCTTTCATACAGTATCAATCTTTTTGCGTCTGGTAAACTCCAGTCGTGCGTCGGAGCTGACACACACATTTTTTTTTGTTATTTTTATGAAAAGCGAATGAATAATCTTGTCTGTGTGTTGCAGGACACGCGCACTCACGTCGTGGTGGAACTGTACGAGACGGAGAAGTCCTATGTGGACTCCCTCGACATCCTAGTCAAGGTAAGAAAGCGGATAATGTATATTATTGGCTATTTGACATTGTTTTTTTGTTTCTTAGGTTTTCACGCACATCACTCATTAAATAAAACTAGTTTTTACGGGTTAATGCACGAAATTTTATTTATTTATTGGAGTCGTTATAATAAAAAAAAATGATTTTTTTTTTAAATGAGTGTGAGTTATTTAATAGGAAAAAAGTAATGCTTCATCCATTAATTTGAAATTCGCGCGAAATCCTATTAATTAAAGAGCCATTTAATGTCCCCACTGCTGTTGCACAGATCTTCCCTATGGATAGAAATGGGGAGATTGGGTTATGACTCACCACGCGGGACCAGTGCAGTTAGGTGGTTGCTGACGACTGCAGATGCAGTTTAACGTACCTTTCGAAGCATGAAAGAGCTTGGAACAGTAAATTTTTGGTCATCCACCCAATGACCGACTACTGCGAAAATTGTTTAAGTGTCGCCGCACACCGGCCACACGCCACAGCCACAAACGCCGCCATGAGAAGCTAGAAGCGGCTACTAAAGTGGCTGAAGCGCGCGGCAGCGAACGACTAAGGTAAGGGAGAGAGGGGTGGGGAATCGCGCGAGTGACGTGTGGCGGCGTTTTGTATCGGCGCATTAAGTGGCCGGTGCGGGCCACAAGAAGCGAGCGACGACGATTTGTAGCGTGTGCCGGCCACCGGCATACCATGCGTTTGTGGCGAGTCCATATAAAATGTTTGAAAAGTACAAGAAATATGTCGGTGGCGGCGTTTTGTGGTTGTGGTCGGTGGCCCGTGTTACTTTAACATCTCTGTGGCGGCGACACTAACTTCAACAATCGCAGTCGAACGCACTAACCACCTGCGCCGTCGAGCTTCTCGTGATATCATTAACTGCTGTGATATTTACTCTCAACTTTTCGCAAAACTAACTTAGCTTTTTTCCGGTAACTCCTCGCAAAATAAGTTGCAATAATACTTACCACAATATGGTTTATGGTTTAAGACATTTATTTCTCAAAACAGAACACAAAATTCACTTACATGAGAAAACAAAAGAATAATTAATCCATTACGTGTGTTACACGAGACGTACGAAATAAACAAACAATTTAGTTGGACATACAAACACTGATGTATATCAAAAATCACTATTGAATTTTACATTTTTTTTTTACTAAAACTGTTGGTAAATTACAAATTGATGACTTGGTTAAGTAACGAAATAACTGATTTACGAACATGTGCTACATTAGATTAATATCCAAATCGAGATTTTCCTCCAAATATTCTCGTACTGACGAGTTATCAATTGAACCCATTTGACGGATGGTCTTCCGTCTTCGGCTGTACGCACTCCGACGAGAACATCTTTCCCTAAATTAATATTAAGAAAGAAAATATATATTATCATTAGGAGAAGTGACAATTTATTTGTCAGCGGAAAACGATTTCTTCATTCTTCCTCCTACGTTATAAAATAGATAGCAGCTTTACGAATTGTAGAATATTTATCAGGTTTTTAAATATTTATGCTTCTCATCATTATCATTGGCCTCCACTGGCCACTGCTTTGGCATAGGTCTTTCCTATAAGGTTTTTTTTTTTTGTTTCCTCCCAGGTGGGGGAGAGGGTGAGAAATCCTCATGGATACCCTACAGCCGGCTGTAAGGTTATGTCAGACTCTTACTGACTAAAAAACACCCTTTATTCGTGCTTATGGCCAGAAGGGCTTTACAAGCTTCATCTGAAGCGATCAACCCCCGAGAGGGGGATGATGCGTTCCTATAAGGCAAGAAGGCATTGTTATATAGAGCCATGAACCAACATGCGGGCCCAGTGCGAATTGTTGGAAGCTAGCGATTGCAGATGCAGCCTGGACCATTCGCTTGATGATCCATACAGAAAGAAAGAAAGAAAGAAAAATCATTTATTGGCCTTAACACACAAGTATATAACAATAAGAAATTATATAAGCACCGATAAAAATAAAAACAAACAGACAACAACAATATACAGAAAGAAGAAAGGCCAATTAGGACCCTGCCTCAGCTTAATGCTGTTACAATGGGACGGGAATATTCCCACCGTAACAGCGCTGGTATTCTGGCACGGCCAGGGCCATACAGAGACACTGGATAGAAATAGTGACTTCAAAGTTAACTAAAAAATGACATGTATAAAATGATAGTAATTATTGTGAATATAATAAATATGTATTGCCAAAAATTATTAATATTCAATACTTCATTCCACATAACATTAAAAAAAAAGAAGCTGAAAGAAGCAGGTTTCTTTTTCTTTTCATGTCATGTATAATGATGAAATATGATAATCATATTTAATTCTCTTATCTAATAGACAAGTCCGTCCGTCCGTGGTGCTGTTTCAGCGGCCAAACCGTAAGAGATAGATAAAGAGAATGTTTAAGTTATAAGTTAAGAATAGTCTGATCGGATTTGAGTAACGTAGCACTTCCGGTTTTTGAGAAATCACGTGATTTCTATTTCAAACGAAACCACACAAAATCTCCGAAGTTCTCAATTAATTAAATACATTTTTTTTTGGTGAACATTTGGTTCACTGGTTTGCTAGTTACTATATAATGTATTACCAGATACTCTGGAGTATAATGTTATTCATTATTATCTATTTGTATTAAAGTCATAACTTTATACAACATAATAAAAATATTATTATTTTTATTTCCAACATAAACTACTCTTATCCAATACAAGCAAAACTTATTTATGTAGATCAATTTTAAATAAATCACTCTTCACCAGATGAGGTCACCGAAGATGATGACAAGTGCTCTATATTATTCAAAAATTGCTCCACCATATCATCGATGGCATTATCCAACTGACAAAATCTGTCTTCTTGTTTTTAAAATTTTATGGAAATGTATATTAATCACGCCGACCAAATGGTAGAATAAAATTTGGAATTTTTCTTCGATTTAAGGATCCGTTTGTGAAATATTGAACTTTAAAGTGCTGATTTTTGTTCGAGTAGGCCCCTCTTCCCCCCTTTAAAAACTAACTATTGGCTTAAAAAACTTGGGAAAATTCATGATATTAGTACTTTTGATGAACTTTTAAGGAAAATTATAACGATTAAGATAGATTTATTAGTTTAAGAGTAATAGTCGTTCAACTTTGGTTAAAGAAAATTTCTTACCTATTGAAAATTTGTTATAAGAAATCATAAATAATGATATGGACGAAGTTACTTTAGCGTAAAACCTTGAATTGAAAAACGAATTTTAAAAAAAATATTAATACCACAATAAAATATCATTAGTTCACAAACCTACCACGAGTAACAAAGGCAAAGGCATCCAAATCGCGCTATCGTTACGTTTAAAAAAATATCGAATTGATTTTTAGTTTTCATAAAAAAAAAAATACTGCCTTCTACTGCATAGGTAAGCTAACGGCAAAATAAAGGAGATTGCTCAAATTGGCCCAAACGCACAAAAAATATTTACATACACGGTAATTCTTGGCGTAATTAATTTATAATTTAATTTACAGTCATTAAATTTCAACGGACACCTTTGTATAATATATTTACTTTAAAAAGGACTTTTAATTTTACCGGTTTGGAAAACAAACGAACCATTTTTAATGGCTATGGGTGTAGTAACATTCAGCCAAAGACTGATCCAAATTGTTTATATAACATCAAAACAAATCTATTTTTGTAAAGATCGATAAAATAAATCATTTTTTTATTACACTATAGTATTAATATCCACAACTATATTATCATTTTCATTACATGCAAATGGGTAGGCGACATCATAAAGTCTATTGCCATACATTTTTCGCCAAACACCTCCATAAACACATTATAATCTGTGTATATGTTAGACTTTAAGGTATCTATCTATGGGCCTACGTTGCCTGACTATAAATTAATAAATAAATAAAATTATAAGGTGTGGTGATACACTAAAAATCTAAAATATGGTTATATTAAAAAAATAACAAAAAAAAAATTGTGTGTGTCAGCTCCGACGCACGACTGGAGTTTACTCCTTAAGTTCGATAGTCTAACCAGACGCAAAAAGAGTTTATTTAACTTAAAAAAGATTGATACTGTATGAAAGGGTAAATTAACAAATTAATGAAAATAATATACATATATAAATACGTATTTATTAATTTCATATACATTTATTATAACTAATCGACGAAATATTTTACAATAATCTTTTTACAATAGTCAATTTCAGATGTGCATAAATATATCATTAGGAATGTTGATGAATTATGTAATTATTATCAGACTATTATCATTTTTTTAAATATTAATTAAATCAACATTGTCTGCATTATTATTTACAGTGACAAGTGGTTTATGGTAACTAAAATAAGACACATGGACGTTCGTAGATACGTGGTTCACGAATCTTGAAAATACCGCATCAATGGTTGTACCATACCTCGTTGTCCCCATTGCTCTATCAGAAACAATATCTAAATTCAGTTCAGATTTTAAAAATTTTATTAATATCAATCCGTCATCTTTGTTTGTCAAAGTTGCGCGACATAGGATGCGCACCAAAAACGTAACGAGGTCATTCATCGATAGATTTTACTCCTCACATTTTTCTCATACCGGGCCCCTTATATATGCAAATCGATTCTTAAGGAGTAAACTCCAATAATGAAGCTACTGAATATATGGCTATATAACCTAAATCCAAGAAGCTAATATAAGTTTCTTGCCTAAATCTCTTAGCTTTCTTTGGTTAACGAGAGTTTAAAAATTCTCTCTGATCTGTGGCTCATTCACAATCACCACACAGTTTCTGTCACAGAGTACCTTTTATAATAACCGGAAATGCATAAGTGACACCTGATTTGATAAGTTACTCTTATGCATTAACTTTAAAAACAGGCAACTATCTGTTAATCTACATGCTCTATATACCTGAATCTAATCCATAATTTCGGTACTTGGCTTGATTTCTCTAGTTTACTATATAACTTATTTGTTT